CTCCATGATCATGCAGACGCAGACAAACAGCCGAAACTGTACCGAACATTTCATAGAGGGTGAGCATGTGCGGCTGAATGATTTAAGAAGTACAGCTGAGCGTCAGGGTTTGAAGAACCAGTACCTCTACAAAGAAGACATCCCTGAATACCCCCGACCCGAGCTCTGCGTGTCTCACCTGAAACACGACACAGAGCGACAGGGGCTCTGCAGGATCCGGAAGGACAGAGGCTTCAAGGATCCTCGTGGAGGCTCCTCGGATCCTCGCCATCTCTCGCTGGTGTGGTGGAGTCTGGCTGTGGGACCCGAGGACATGCAAGCGGCTGAGACGAGGCTCCTGGAGGAGACCTACCCAGACCGGATGGAGGAGCAGGCTGCAGAGCAGGAGAGCTTCCTGTGGAAGTTCGCGTCCTCTCCAGCCTTCAGGAGGAGGTCGAGACTGGGCTCGTACCGCTTCAGGTTTCCTCTGGAGGAGGTGCTGACCGCCTACAGCGAGCAGGTAATGCTACGTTTAAACGACTGTTTGCATTCACAGAGCTGACATCAGCGCCTGTGAGCACCATAAAAGAGTCAGAGACGTCTGTGAACGTCATATCAAACACTTTTCAGAGGCAGAGTTTGAACATGAATATCTAAAACACTGTTAACAATAGAAACCCGACAGTTTCACTGGTCCGTCTGACCAGAAACATGAAACAGGATCTAGTATTCAAATATCTGCAAGTAGTCCTGTAAAAAAAACTGTTTCTGAATGATGTGTATTTATATTTCTCCATAATGTTAAAACACTGAATACTATAAATATTATTCTTAGTCACAAACTGAAGAACGTGCTTTTTTCGTTCAGCTGGACTCGGTAAATCTTTCAGGTGGAAACACAAACATCAGACTGGAACAGACCACTCAGCTGATGATGGTTCAAATATGCTCGCAGACAAAACCTACAGATTGTGCAAAGATTCTTTCTCAGTTAAAACTCAAATAAAGTGAAGTCACAAGATTCCTGACAACACTGAACAACAGGGCACTTCCATCCTTCGTTTACAGCGAGCTGCTGTCGTGACTCAAAGCGCGCGTCGACCGAAACTCGCCGTGCCGCGTCACTCTTTGTTTCTCTGGAAGTAAAACTGAAACTTCTGTTATCGTCCCCAGTTTTGCGCCGGAGCTCCGCCCATCATGAGGGTGTTCAAGACCTCGCTGTACAAACAGGAAGTGCAGTACTCTGTGCTGGTCCACAGCCCGGCCAATCAGGAGCTCTTCTCAAGGTTTCCTTTGCTCCCTGATGATGACCCGGACGCCGTCTGCACTTATAAAGACGGATGCTTTATCTGGAGACCGGAGGCCATGTGTAAGACACACAGGTAAGAATCACACAGGTAAATGTGGAAATGACCTCCAGTGAGAGACTCAAAGCGCCCTCTGACCTCTGTGTCTCTGCCCGTCCTCTCAGCTACGAGTTGATCCGAGGACCTGACGAGAACCAGATGGACGCTCGGGGGCCG